ATTTTTTATAAGAGATTTGTATATATTTAGCTAATATTACACCTATTCTAGAAAACTCGAAGTTGGTGTGGTGACACTCACGGTTTTAGTAGCGGCTATAATACTAGTGTTTTCCAAGCAACCGAGCAGGCCCTTGGCGACAACGCCCTACGTAAGTTTGCGGAATTACTATAGCACGATAGGCCGGCCTTTAATATAGAACGTCTATTAATCTGCTAACCACTACGTACTGCTAGTAATACTGCTAGGCGTACGTAGGGCGATAAACTTGGCGTATGCGAGCAAGCTTAGCATAGTGCTCATTAGGCTATACGAGCCGTCTACTAGATAGCGAGTAGCTGCTCAAGACAGCTGTCTATCTCTGCAGCACCCTCCTCAAGCTGCTTCTCTGCTGTAATAAACAGCTCTAGCACGTTGTGATATACTTATTTTCATGTAAAAAAATCATATTTGTTGCCATAGATGCCAATGAATAATTGGATTGTTTTTGAGCGTATTTTATTGTTGAGGCCAGGGGCCCATGCGTAGCATAAGTGGCAGGTCATCTCCGAGCCGGAGTACTTGTGACCGGCTTATAAAAACCTTATTAGAAACACTAATATACTCGTCGGAGGAGTTAAAACACTTTTCGGACACCAAGCGAGGCATTTTTAAACGCTAGTATATAAATTACATCGTAACATCCGGTTTTTATATTCCTTACGTTGTTTTTTCCATCATTACTTCTACCTTTAATAAGTAGCCAAATTTCTAAGAGATAGGCCATAGCTGCATACGTGGAGCCCACTCTCAGAGGGCTAGAACTCTTTATTAATTGCGTATTCAAACCTCTAATTACCGCCCCTCTTCTCAGCATTCTACTATATTCCCTAAAAGATACAGGGAAATACGCAGAAGAAACAATGATTTTCTCACGCCTTATCAACAAACACAGTCTAATGTGGACACTAAGTTTTCTCACTACCGTGGGCATAATAAGAAAAGCTAACGTAGCTCTTAACTCATAGGCTACAAACAACTAGCAGATAAGAGCAGGTCATAGTTAGGATTAGCCCTTGGAAATCGCAGTCGTCACTAGAGGATGCAACAGAATCGGCAGAGCCATTGCAGAGGCTCTAACTCGACATAGAATTTGCGTGGCAGTGCTTAACGTGCAGGCGCCCCCCAAGGCTTTCAAATCTAATAGCCTGCTAACATACTTTCGATGCGATATCTCCAGCCCTATAGCAATAGCAGAAACGGCCGACAAAATTCGGAACAGTCTCGGCCATCCTTCAATTCTCGTCAACAATGCTGGTATCGTGCATAGCGCTCACACAATACTAAGAACTCTAAGTAAGTTTCTTAGTCGCATTTTCGATACAAATATCCTTTCACACTGGCGGCTTATCCAGCAGTTTGTCCTAGACATGGTAGCGAAAAATAAAGGCCATATTGTGTCAGTAGCAAGCATTGCCTCATATTTAACGAGCGCAGCAAATGTAGACTATGCTACAACTAAAGCTGCAGCACTAGCATTCCATGAGGGTCTTACAAGTGAATTAAAGATCTAGTATGAAGCATCAGGCGTTAAGACTACAATTGTGCATCCAAGTTGGGTACGCACACCAGCAGTTAAAGAGGGGGTATTAAGCAGTGGTCAGGACGCGAAGATTCTTGAGGATTTTCTACTACCAGAAGAGGTAGCTGAATTTATTATAAGGCAGATAATTAGCAGGCGCGGTGCGCATATTTTTATCCCTAGTTTCGGGGCGCCTATTTCAGGGCTTAGAGGTTAGCCAAATTGGATCCAAGAGTTTGTTAGAGATGTTATAGGAAAGATAATTGTTCTTACTAGCCCATCAATGGTCGATTACTAATGAACATAGGATGTTCATTATCTTGTTCAAAATAGAAAAACCCGGCCTATACGACAAGGCCCCGTATCGTAGATTTACTCATTTTGTTATGTAAACAAATCAAACCCCCTTGTTTGAATTTATTGCAAATCCCAGACAGATAATACGGACTATCAAGTACGCTAGAAGATACAAACTCTTACCCTAGAGGTAGAGGAAGAGTGTTAAAAGAAACAACAGAAAGGATCTTTCCCCTAGTAATGACGGTGAAGTGGTTGAGAAACCACTTAGGATACTCACTAAAAGATATAATCATCATGGAGCGAAATTATGTGACCTGGGGGAGAGGCTCTTTCGAATATTTTTTGTAACTGTTGGAGATCTAAGCTACTTAGCTAATCTCCAATAGCAGCTAGAATCTTTCTATCTATAAAGATCACGCAATCTACCACTTAATAGATTCTTCTAGAATCTAATTTAGCTAATATATATAGTATTAGAATAGCTTGAAGATAGAGGCAAAGCAGACGACAAGAGTAAACAACAAGATCAGACGACAATCACCATATAGATCACTAGTTCAATTAACCTAACCTATCTCCCTCTAGTTTTTTCTATCTAGAATCTATTAATCACGCTGCCTTCAATTCTATAAAAATAAGCAGCATCCCCGAGCTGCGTACGCGCCGGAGCAGTCTATACAATCACTAGCGAGATCTTTGTAAAGACCTAGCGCGTATTAAGGGCTAGTTTAAGCTAGTTTAGAATACAAACGTAAAGTATAGTTATAACGGCACAGTTCCTGCTACTATCTATATCGAAGTAGTTTCTAACCTAGGGTATAATCTAGCTTAGTAGAAAGCTATTACTATAAAAGTCTAATATGTATATTAGCTTATTTAGTGGATTTTTCATATATTTTTATAATGCCTATGGACATTCTATTAGTTTCTTAGCTCGTTTATATTCAACTCTCTATTATATACCTTTAAGTGACCTATCTACTAGACATTATCTATAATATCATATAATACTATTTTCTCTCTAGTAAGTGTAAGAGAATAGAGAACACATAGATTGCGAGTAACTCTTAAGCCTAAACTTCTACTGGAGAAGAAATCTAAATATTCTTGTACAAATTCCCAATAAGAAGTGATCTATCCTGCGCCGCATGCGAAGTCTCATACATCTTGTTCTTCTTATCATACCAATCCATAACGTTATAAGTTTTTCCCTCCGCATCAGTAATCTCCGTGTCATCACTCGGACGCAAAAAGTACGTCACTGAGTATCTGTCCGAGTGTGTCAGAGGAAGAACGCGGTGTACGGCTGAGCGCAGCCTATCGTTCGTCAAGAAGCGAAGTGCGTCGGCCACATTCACAACAGCGCATCCGGGACGCGGCTCTACATATTGCCACTCAAATTCGTCTGCACCAGGGCCGACAGGTGTCATCACTTGCAAGCCCCACTGAGGAGCGAAGACGAGCGTCAGGGTACCGTAGTCGGTGTGCATGTTGTGGCCTACATTGCCTCCAGTAGGGTCCATGGGGATACTGTGCAGAAAATTAAGTTTAGCTCGGCATCAATTTGAAGCAGTGCCTTATAAGGCGCTTTGCCTTGGATATTAGAGGGTGCTGACTTACTTCAATCAAGTCAGTAATATGCTCGAAGAACGTGCAGAACAAGATTTAGACAACTCACCTAGTGAAGACATGCAAGCGCACTCTTTGAAGGGCAATCATTCCGATGAAAGCGGTTGAGGCTCCGATCGCCCGTCATGCCTAGAGCATTCGATATGCGATCAAGCATGATCTTTGTCATGTAATGGCATTGTGTTTGGAATTTTTCAAAAGTCTCGTAGTTTTGCTCAACGACAGGTGCAAGACCCCACCGACTTTGCATCTCAAAGCGGCCAGTCTAGAGCCGAGGTTAGGGCTGTGAGTGCATACTAGATCATGGAGGCCTGTAACGTACCTTCAAAACCTCCCATCCATCTCGCCCACCATGTGTTCCAGCTTGAGATCCAATTGGCTTGTATCTAGATATTATACTAAGTACGCAAAAATAGACGGTTATTATGAGACTGTGCATTACTGACCCATGCGATGCCATACTAATGGCCAAATATTTCCGCTTCACGGATTCGGGTTGAGCAAACCAGGCCCTCATAGCCAAATTTACACCATCAAGATTATCCAGCATCGTTGCTGAGTACTGATCTGAAATATCTAGATAGAAGAAGCCGACATTCTCACACGCTGCCATAAGCTTGCTGATTTGTTCTGGGTTACGGTCCAGTAGTTTAGAAAACGTGATAGTATCAAGCTTTGCTAGAGGTTCATAGCTTCTGGGAGTAAACTCGATGCTTTCTCCGTCAATAACAGCCATGGTTGAGCAGGGCAGTATTATATGTATCAGGAGGAGTCAAAAGATCTCAAAGAAGTGGAGAGATTGGATGAAGCTGTAATGACGAGAGTTCAGAGAGTGACTCCAGCATTTTTATATCTTACGGCGTGCAGTGCCGGTGGGATTTCTTGGCTTATCTCTCCAGTGCATACCCGGTTCTTAGCCCTGTATACATTGGTGTTAGGTATTCTGATTATCCAATATTCTACTTGACATACTACCCCACAGGCTCTGGCTAAGGCTGCCTGCAGAGATAACTAAGGCCCAGCGATCGTGAGTTTCTCTTTGATCTGAACTGCGGGCCTGATCGTGGTTCATTTCTTGCTGCAACCCAGAGTGATTTAACCGATAATCAAGGAAAAGACAACTATCGTTCTGGCCCCCCAGCCACAGGCCGACCATTGGCGCTCAGGGGATGGTACGTAGGATTTCATCGTCGATGCGATCTCAAAGACCCACTTGAATATACACCATAACCCTCAACTAGCCTACTATAGCGCCTCTACTTTCACTTGCTGCTTATATTGCTCACTACGACTAGAGCATGACATGCTGATTCTTGTATACCCGGAAGGAACATGCACATCCGGATACGGCCCATTCTCCGCAAACGCTTAAGCGTTGACTATTCATGGCTCTATAGCTGTTAGACTAACATTTTGCCAAATATGCACTATCCAAATCACTCCCGAAAGCTCAACTCCGGCCGATGCAGCTGCCGGTACCGGTGAAGGCGGCCTGCCGCACCCTTTCTTGCTTCTCGTGCATTTGGCCGGATCAGAACGCATCTCCTCTTAGAATATAACGCTCAGAGCAGAGTATTTAAATAGGTCCTGACCTTGAAGTACCTTATCGTTCAGTATCACGCCGTTCAAATCTCAATTCACCACTTTGCATCATGCTTCAAACTTCACTTACAATCACCTCGCCAGTAAACCAATTTGAGAAGCTGGTAACTGCCTTGAAAGATGCCCTTGGTTCGTCGGGATTGACATCTGAGGACATTGACATTAAACTACTCAACCGTTTGATGCAAGATTATCGAAGCAATGAAGATGAGTGGAGGAGGTTTGCTCTTGTGGATCCAAACAGCGGCTACACACGAAACTTGGTAGATCAGGGCAACGGAAAGAGTAATCTCGTGAGTGCACCTGATGGCCGCCTACATATCCCAGCCTGACCAAGTAGCTTCTGCTTGTCTGGGCGCCTGGCAAAGGTAGTCTCATACACAGCCACAGCAACGCACACTGCCTAATGAAGATCCTTTACGGTCAGCTCACTGAGACGCGCTATGAGTTTCCAGGTAAGGCAAACTCACCTGAAGATCACGCGAGTATGACTACGATATCGGAGAAGGTACATGTCGAGGATCAGGTGGCTTACATGAACGATGATCTCGGTGTCCACAAGATGTGGAACAACGGTATCGACTATGCCGTTTCTTTGCATTTGTACACTCCTCCGAATATTGTCAGGCACGGGTGTTTCATCTTCGATGAAGCGACTGGAGAGAGAACGCATGTCCAAACCTTTGAAAACTTTTCTTTTCGCGGGAAGCGGAGGATTTCTGCCGCTACGTTAGCACCTTAGCTTGTTTATTAGAAAGAACAGCGTAGAATACTAGCTCATTTTTCACTTTGAATCATCGTGTAATGTAATCAATGTTATGTGAAATCTTACACAAAAGTGTGATGTCCACCAAAAGTATCACTGATAGCGTCTCAGCATGTTATCCCTAGATCAACCTTGTTCACATTTAAGAAATGAAATAGACTGTTCTAGAACCCCGGGATACTGTGCGTGTCAGTCGTTTATTCTGTATCAGTGGATTGCCGAAGGGCTTTCTCAAACGCTCAATTTTCTCCTTCGAAGGCCAATAGCTCCCACAGTCGCTGCAGTCATCGTTGTGCCCAGCAGAATGATGAGAGTGCGCCACTTTCCAGCACCGTAGCTGTAGTCTATTTCGGTAGACTCAGAGCTCTGGAGGACTGCTGAAGCGATATAGCCTGAAACGACACCCACAACACCTCTGGTGAATAACAGCACTCCAGAGACGAGAAGTTCTTCAGCTGGACGGTTGGGGTCGTTCACGACTATAGCGGCCATATGGCTTCGCAAAACCATGAAGCTGAATGCAAATGCACCGAACAAAAGCGATACAATCACCATGGTCCAGTAGGCTTTACCCAAACCCCAAACGACAAGCACCGCGAAGGCACTGACGAGAGTACTGAGAAGCATCGGTACTAGAGGTCCAATTTTGTCCCTTTGTGCTCCAGTTAGTGGCTTGCTGGCATACGCTATGTCGATGGATTTTTCACTTACGTGAGGGCTCCGAGCGAGACTTGACCAATGATTCCAGACAAAGACAAGTACGTGACCAGTAATGCTGCTTTTGTAGAGTCAACACCAAGATCTGTTGCATAGCTTGGAAGATAGTTTGCTGGGAGATTGTTCGCCAGACTCTGAACAGCCATTGAGGATACGAACAGCCAAAAGTATAGGCTTTTAAAAGGCTTGAGTGTGAGCTCTTGTTTATGAGCGCCAACCACCACGCCTACACCGTGTGGGCGGCGAGGACGTATAAAAACTATGCCCAGCGAAATTGTGACTGCGATGAACACCGTCCATCCGATCAGCGTTGTACGCGGTCCATATTGGTCCAGAAGTCGAGCGAATATAGGGGAGAGCGCAGACGAGGCAATGTTTGCGGAACCAAAACTTTGATAGTCAGTAAGATACTTTTACGTGGTCATCAAAGACTTGGTGGCTACCTACAAAATACCATTGGCAAGTCCGCGACGCTTCAGGAACCATTCGTCGACGAAACTAATGCAAGGCGCAAACAAAAGCCCACTTGAAAGGCCATACATCATTCCTTGAGTCATGATGACCTGTAAAGCCTAGAACGAACATAAGTTGAGCAAATGCATCGCAATGTGTGCCTGCCACATACTGTAGTAGAGAAGGCAGCTCCCAAACAAGAAGCCACAACTAAAGTCATTCCCGTCCACATCATGTGGGGTCTGAATTGAGAATATCTACCAATCAGGGGCAGCAGGAAAGGTGACAATGATTGAAGAATTCCCTGAAATTGTCAGCTTATCCTAAGTTGCTGACGGTGTGATTTGAGTTGGGTGTTCCTTACAACAACGAGAAGACCAATAGAGGCGACGAGCTGGTTGCCTTCAAACGGTGGATTGTTGAAATAGTATTCGCGAAAGACACCCTGAGTGGCGCCAAAGCCTTTGACGAGTTAATTTGAGATATTGAGTAGGCAGAAACGTTGCAAAGCGCACCCCATGTGGCCATGGATATGGCAGAGACAGCAACTAGACAAACCCAGGCAGATCTGCCTCGATCTCGCGGTGGCAGCCCTTCCTCATCGCTGTGGTGTGCCCTTTCAGGTGAAAGAGAGGTTCTTGGTAAAGCCGATACATCGGGGCCTTGTGCATCCTTTTCGAATGCATGGTCTGCTGTCAAAGCCATATGAGCAGTGACTACAATTGAAGAAGTGTACAATTTACAAACGTAGCCTGACGAGCTAGTGACAGTGGCAAACTGGCCTGTATGATTCAGAACAGCTTACTTTATTAGCCAGCGGTGGACGAGTCAGTAAGATTGCCGAGTCGAAATCGCACTTCACGCAGTCGCAACGAATGAGTGTCCCTAGCGGTACGCACAGGTGCTAGACTCAGGCGTGCAGCGCTCCTAGGCCGCCCCCTTGCTTACCGCGTTGCTCTACGCCTCATCACTGGACATAGCTACAGGTTGTGCTTGCATACTGGATCTGTGCACACCCCCAAAAGCGGTTGTTTCCGCTCTTGGCACAGGCAAGACGTTGCCAACATTGTTATGTTGTTCAATCTACGGCACACATACCCGGCCATGCCCATGTCGCCCCACGGAACGCTAAGGTAACGATCCGTTCCGCTGGAAACTGTCCAGAAGCACCGTCCTTGTACTCTAGTGCATACTAATAATGCAAAATCTACTTTTCAAAGCTACAAAATCCGACAGCATCATGGTAGAAGTACATACCCTTGAGTATGCTATATTCGCGACATGAGTAGCAGCAACCAGCCACTTGGTCGCTGGCGTTAAACTGAGCTTGAAGATATCCATGCTTGGGATCTATGGGCTAAGAGCGCACAGCATCGGAATCGAAAAGGATTTAGAGGACGCGTGGGCGACAAGCCGGCCGCGACAAGCCGACTGCGAGTAGCCGTGGTATCTGCTTCCGGGTCTGACTAACTGGTTGTCCGGCACGAACATCTTATGCATGTTCATCGACGATCGTTTTCGTTCGGCACGGCTAGCCCGTGCCGCGCACCATGTCACGAGACAAGGGAAATTTCACATACTGCTCCTACTCATGTGTTTGATCTGGTAATGGGAGTGGCTACCTTGAATGGAAGGATCACACTAATCCCAAAGTAGAAGGTAGTAGTGCGGATCAATGCGGTCAGCTAGTACAGGCGTTTTTGGTCTCTTCATGGCTAGAACCTCAGTCAATGTCCAACATGTGGATCGTGTTCCGAGCTGATTCATGCATTGAATCTTCCGCTCCTCGTTGTCCGCCTGATTGTGGGTCCTCCAATACTAAGTGGCTAACGAATGGCAGTTTCCCCCAATCACATCAGCTATAATGTATATCACTCAGCCAAATTCCAGTAAACAAGCTAGCGCTATCTAAACAACGCTGACATATAGCTCAAACAGCCATTTATAAACAGAAATTTGGCTAAACTACTGTTAATATATCAGCCTAAGTCGGTGCTGCTGCTGCCTGTAAAGATGAAGTCGCAATCGTTAGTAACTGTGCGGTAAATGGACTAACATATTGCAGGACTGAAATTCGGCTGCAGTAGGGTAGAAGACTTCAATATGGCCTTTCTACTGATGTGTTTTCAGTATGGGGGAGAAAAATCTAGAAAGCAAAGACCAGTAATACAACATGATAGCAATCATTCTCTCAAGCATAATTGAGAAATGCTCACCTGCACAAAATCGCGAAAAGTACAGGGCACAAGAGATTGTTTTTTTATAGAAAAAAATGTGTTCGTTACTCTGAATTATACCCAAGTACCACACAGAATCTGATAAACGCCAAAAACAGGAAACTGCAATCTTATGGAGCCACGACCAACTCATCCATCATTCCACCAGTCAAGACGGTCTCCGTGCGTTGGACCTCGTGAGACTGCTTGTACGTCTCATACTTGCGTAGATACCACTTCTTCGCATCCGTCTTCACGTCATCGCTGTCGCGGAATTCTGTCCTGTCACTAGCGCGAAGGAAGTATGAGATGGAAGAACGGTCGACGCCCTCGATTTGTACCGCACGATGAAGGGCAGAGCGCAGACGCCTTCCTGACAAGAAACGGAGTGTATCACCAACGTTGATAATAGCATGGCCTGGCTTTGGCTCCACCCATTCCCAATCTCCACTGTCTGGCGAGAGAGCTTGCAGACCCCATTGTGGGGCAAATAGCAATGTCAAAGAACCAATGTCGGTATGCATGTTCTGACCCACACCTGCTTGGGATATAGTGGCCGCCGGGTAGTGGAGAAAGTATAGAGTGCTCTTGGATGGCTCGTCATCCCTGTGATAGTTGTGCAAGCTCTCCTCATCCTTCAGGCCAAGTCCGCTGGAAATGCAGTCAAGCAGGTTCTTGAGGATGTAGTGCGATGCCGCGGAGAAATCGTCAAAGATTCGCTGGTGAGAGGTGACCACCGGAGGGAGGCCCCATCTGCCCTTCAGTTCACAGTGGCCGATCTATCTGAATGTTAGCATTAAGCCGCAACGTTGGCCGTATTGAAACTCACCTTGAGAGCTTCCCATCCATCTTTGGTGTTCTCGCTAATACCAGATTGAACACCAATTGGTTTGTAGCTATTGAACATGAGTTAGCCTAGTTCCACCACAATAAAATAACAGAATTCGTACCCGTGAGCATTCGAGATAGTTGGTGTCTTCATCTTGGTGGATACTGGTTGCTTGAACCAGTCTTTCATGAGAATTCGTAGGTCTTTCAGATCCTGCATCATGTTGCCAGCTTCATTGGACGTGAGGTCCAGGTAGAAGAAGCCATAGTGCTCGCAGGCTGAGATTAGATTCTCCATCTCTGACTCGCTCCTATCAAGCAGTTCTGAAAATTTGATAGTCTTGAGCTGAGCAACGGCGGCACCCTTTGGGATACCTTCAATATCGAGGAAAGGCATGTTGGCAAAATGTGTAAAGATGACTTGATAGAGGTGTATGGTTGCAAGATTATGGATTCAAATGTGAGAAGTCGATAACTTGTGCTGTTGAGTATTACACAGAGAATTGAGTGGTATTTATACTACTATTAACCAATACTACTCAGCAGGATGTCGTTGCTTGACACTAGCTCAGTGATCAGTAACCCATCGATTTCACCATAGACATTCTGATCGTGAAGCTTTTGATGAGTTCGAACAATCTGAGAACATTCAGTCAGATCGTAAGGCGTTTCATTTGCAATATCGCCAGCGTTAGCTATTTCTTGGTTCTCCACAATCCATCCTTCAGCCGCAACGAGGAAGTTACGCCTTCGGGCATTATTCCCAAACCGGAACCAAGAAGCACGCCATCGCTGACCATGACCTTGTTAGAAACAAGGAATTCTTGCTGACCAGTTATTGCCAACCCATGTATGTCAGCGTTTTACCAAGAGAAGGTCGTCACTGCAGTTCAAAGTTGCGTAGACAACGCAAGAAAACGAGCCAATAAACCGCACAGAAAAGTCCATTCACGCATAAAAGAATATCACACAATAAGCAAAATCGCTAAAGGGTGGTGATGCTTTAGGGGAAAAGAAATGTACATCTGGGTTGAACCATGGGGTGCCTATTATAGTGGATCAAGATAATTCTCTCGCCCGATGATTCGCGGTAAAATTGAATATGAAGTATGAGAGAACAAAGACCACATAGCCACGTGATACGTCAGCGGATCATTATTTGGATGCATCTACTCAGCCGCATACACAATAGCATAAACACGTCAGATTCCTGAGAGGACGGGTTAGCCTAAGCTGTCAGCAACCAAAGCTGAAATATGGGTCGATGCACCACAAGAGTCATCAACTATCTGCTCTACGCATCGTGCTTCATTGTAAGACACGTAGCAGCCTGATTTTGACCTAGACACAGATCCATCTTTGATCGGCCCAGATCTGATCGGAGACTCGGTAGCGGAAGCGCGGGCCTTGTGCGGGCCGTGCATCGACGTGACCTGGAGTGTTACCCTGGAACCACCTATTGAGAGGGAATTTAACACTCTTCTAGCTGCAATGGGCTAATGCCATAGTTTCTATTGAGAAGGGCGGTTGCATGCTGGGGCGCCTTGCAGCGGATGCATTCCAAACAGGCTGCGACTAACCCGAACCGAACCGCCAAACCCACCCCTATCCACAGTTTTGACAAGGGTCCAGTACCCCATCTTAGCTGAAAGACTCAAATTGGGGATACCTTCCCTTTGCGACGCGCTTTGTCTTGCACACACGATTTTGAATCGGCGATGAAGTTGGAAGTTTTTTTTCATCCGGCCCCACAGTCTCTATACACACAAGTACCGGCTGCCATGCATAGTGCATATGCGCCGAGTTTCACATAACAAAGTCTCTTTCATCGATGGAGTAGCGAGGATCGGCCAAGACCGAGCGATCTGTAATGCCTGTATGTACTTCTTCAGGAAAGGACCATATAGAGTTGCCAAGAGTGGTTCACGCGCACGCCATTTCCGTTCACTCTCCGCCATTCCCTCACTTGGATCGAAAGAAACCATCGTTCCTGTGAATCGAAGCTTAGACATTGAGGGTTTTTACCCTTGTAAAAGGACAATATGTTTGCCTTGGAAGAAGCGTGGAGGCACAGTAAGATTGCAAATGTTGTGATCGAAATTTGGCCCAGCAATCGCAGTTGAGGTTATAATGATACCCATGACCGATCCCACTATTTACATAGAACCAATGCCCGAGAATGTTCTTTTCTCAACATCAAACATCGGCAATGCTATTCAACAGTGTTTTTAAAAAGTCTGAGATGGGCGAGAAAAGCTCATCGCACCGAGTCCACCCTATTGACAGAGGAATAAAGGCGTGGACCTTCCTGGCTGCAGCTTCGGCAACGAATATCATAACCTATGGTGAGCATCTGTGATCTCAGAAAAATGGGAAGATCTGACTCTGTAAGGATTTTCTTCTACCTTTGGTGTTTTCCGCGAATACTACTTCCGACATGCTCCTTTTCAAGGCAGTCAGGAGGTTGCTTACGTGGGTCCTGTTGGTCTTGTGAGTCTCTTTTGTTATGATTTTAAGCCTTGAAATGACTGATTGTGTAAACAGGGTTTGATCCAAGGACTTTCCCCGCTGCTGGTATACTTTTGCAGCAAGTATCCTACCAAAGTGACGCTCTTGCTGTGGTCTGGTGCTTTGTTAATTGCAGCATCTTCGATTGGAGCAGCATTTGCTACGACTGTAAGCAGTCGGCTCATAACTTCAATTATGTTCAATGACTAATCAAAAGACCATAGCCAGCACAATTGATCCTGACGCTCGGTGTCCTGTATGGCTTCGGTGGCAGCTTCATCTTTGCTCCAGCCATAGTCCTGATAGACGGCTGGTTTGTGGAGAAAAGGACATTGGCCAATGGCATTTTGTAAGTCTCGAGCAAATCAATTTGTGTTTACAATTCTAACATAAACCAGCTTCTCCGCCAGCAGCCTCGCGCCAGCAGTTCTCTCACCTCTATTCTCACTCACACTATATCGCTACTCTCCCAAGGTTACTCTTATAGGATGGGCAGTATTCTGCGCATTCCTGTCTCTAATATCCTTGCCTTTCATCCAATCGCGTCAGCATGCCCAGGAACCTACCATTTTAACAGAATCCTCGACGCCTGATAGTGACATTGATAAGAAAAAGAGCACAGCGTATCGTTTCTGGACACAGCCTTTATTCTACATCGTCTGTTTGACAACAATCTCACAAGGTCTCGCGCATTTTCTTCCAGCGTTGTACATCCCTACGTTCGCCACTGACTTCGGCGCCTCGCAACGCAATGCCTCGCTACTCATCACCTACTTTAACATAGTCTGTATCTTTGCGCAGCCTCTCTACGGCCACCTAGTGTAAGCAATCGTGCAATGTTTTATAACGATTCTCCATTCAGCTAACACAAATCAGTGACCGTATCGGACCACTCTACCCACTTTTGATTACCACTATCGTAGCATCTGTCTCTATCCTCACTATCTGGGGCTCAGCAAAGTCATACCCACCTCTCGTTGCAGTAATGATTCTCTTTGGAGCCTCGTCTGGCGCATTTGTGGTGCTACGTAGCAGCTTTGCAACACAGATTGTGCTCCGGAACAAGGCGTACAGTAAGACTACATCGGATCTGGAAAAGCGAAAAAACGAATCACTCATCTCGGGTATTCTAATGTCGATCCGTGGAGTTGCAACGATCGCGTCAGGGTTCGTGGGGAGAGCGCTTGTTCAGGGGAGTGAAGACATACCTCTTGGATCAGGATACGGTGCGGGCAAGTGGAAGTCATTCATTTTCTTCACGGGTATCATCATGGGAGCAGCCAGCTTGGGCAGTGTGGGCTTGATCAGGCCTGCAAGGGTGCCAGAGCGTAACCTGAGGGGCCCCGACGACGAGGTTCTTTCATCGTAGGAAATCTTTTCGAAAGGAACCAAAAGTAGGGGTTTTTGAGGGTGGGACTTTGAGAACGAAAATGGACAGAGTGGAGAAGTCATGGATATTGTGGGAGGGACGGGTTTGTAGCTTCTACTAACGCTATGTTTTAGATACACGATAGTTGCTAAGTGCACGACTAGATAGTTTTGATGAGTTGTTTACATAGAAAAGTATTCATATCCTTCTGGCAATACTCAAATCTGCATGATATTATTATTTTACCTTAGCAAAGGCTGATTTAATAAGAACCTTTTGGTATACAAAGTGGTAAAAGTGGGTACCAAATATAGGCTTTTATAGAATAGCCTTTCTTTTCTTATATTTCTTCTTTTAGAGTTTAGGTTGATATAAACTCGTTCAAAGTCCTCTTCCCCTATAACAAAGAAGAAGTCGCACTTTAGGTAGGATACACATGGGCCAATTACCTGGCACTTCGTCTAGTGAACTATAAATATTAATGCATACATATAGATATCTCTAGGCCTTCAACCATCTCGTCACTCTCGGAGGATAGGATCTGTCTTATCACTTTTCACAGTAACGGTGTCGACGACTAACCTTTGATGTTAGCGTAGATAGAATAGTATAGACTTGAACTCTATATCATGCGTAGCTATCTCCTACCTCGGGTATTTCATGTGCAATATATCTACTATCATCCTACAGATAAAACCCCGCACTAAGCCGGGGAAAGGAAGCGTGCTCTATTTATCCATCTTCTATTTATGATTTTAGCAATCCATTATCCGAGGCATGTACAAAATAGCATTGCCTAATGGATATGTCTAGCTTAATATCGTTCCAGTGCACTGTACTAGAGCCAAGGTCACTCTATTCCAGATCTGGTGTCACTTATGTTCTATCAGTTCAAGAAGGCTGCTTTGCCAAGTGAGAACAATCGCTATCGATGATCCTTCCGCTGCCCATTACGTGCTTGCTTCTCTTATTGTTCAAAACTAAGTGCAAAAGGGCTTGAACTAAGAGCGTAAAACAACTAGCCTCGGATCATCAACCTGAATTAAACATTAGTGATGTACTCTTTTATTTTTGCTACTTTTTTTTCGAAATGCTACTGACATACAATGGGTGACGGTGGTAGCATCTGCAGTGCGTTAATATTTCCTTGCCCAAGGGCATGTTGCTCTCAACACAATACAATCTCCAAGTCTTCGATCTGCAATCGCCGACATATATCTGTTCTTAGATGTCTATTTATTTTTTGGGCAGTGAATCCCGCAACTTGTTCCTCAATTCTTTACGTAAATATCCAGGCCCTAAGCTGTGGGCCGTTTCTCAGATACCATTCTCTGTCACCTAGACATCTGGAAGGAGCCACAAGAGACTTTTGGAACTACACTTAGAGTATGGAGAGATTGTCTGATTGTCCCCAAATCACATCAGCTTCAGTTACCCTGAAGCATGGGAAGATGTAATTGGTCACCGCAAGGGCAGGTAGGAGGACAATGGCAAGGATCCGGACTTCTGGCGTGGCGAGGACGTGTTCACGCTTGTTGGATCAAACCGGGAAAGACACAGCCGCTTAAGCATGATTATTTCCTACAGATTCTCGGCTCAGGCCATGGTTGATCAACAATACATCTTCCAAAAATACGCGTCTCTGTTGCTGGACAAGCTACACAAGGCTTGCGCTTTAGATCCTGTCTAACTGACGTCCTATTAAAACTGGACCACCTTCGACATGACTGGTGACTTAATCGTTGGCGAGCCTTTCAGGTGCCTTGATGAAATGAGGTATCATCCATGGGTCAAGCTGATCTTCATGTATACCAAGGGCATTGCGATATCCACTGCTATTATTCGGTTCCCATTCGCCAATACTCTTATCCAGTTGATGACACAATATCCAGTTCACCGAGATATGGAAGCCCACCACGACTTCACTGTAGCACAGGTTGCTGAGCGTATGGCCCACAAGAATCCTCGCCCGGATTTTATTGAACCGATGATCCGAGCACACGAAGAAAACGTACGAAAAAATAGAGCTAATTACAAAATTTTCCTCCTCAATGTAGGAAGTGACTATGACAGAAATTCATGCGAATGCTCACAACCTCATTGTTGGCGGATCCGAAAAGACAGCTACCAGGTTGAGTGATGTTACATATCTCCTTGCAACCCATAGAGATAACCTACAGAAGATGTACGAAGAGCTGAAGGCAACATTCAAACATGAAGATGAAATCAAGGTGGTTAGTTTAAACAAACTTGAGTACATGTTTGCAGTTTTGCACAAGGGGCTTCGCATCTCCCCTGCAGTACCGGGGATGATTCCTCGCAAAACACCACCAGAAGGTATTCAGATCGGCAGGGAGTTTGTGCCTGGCAATTTTTGTGTTCCAGTTTCCTCATACGCCCTGCTTTTGCTTCGCATATTCTGAGATAGATGTGTGCACATCGCCAGCACTCAAGCCCTCATTATACGTCCTACGCCCTCAAACCGTCGTCCATCGACCAATCTATAAATAGACAATCGTCGGCGTATGGCAATATCCCATGTTCCATAATCGCAATTATTTCAGAGATCCCGAATTGTTTGTCCCTAAACAGTGGACCGGAAATGAGCGATACCAAAATGACAGAAGGCAGGCCTGTCAGTCATTCGCAGTTAGGCCGCTCAACTGCATTGGAAAGAAGCAGGTGAAAATTTTACTCAAACATGTTTCTTCTACAATTAAGCATCACCGGAAGAATTAGTCTTAATTGTCTTAGATACTAGCCTCGCCGATGCGGAAGTGCGACTTGTGATGGCAAGGCTTGTTTGGAACTTCGACCTCGAGATTGATCCCCAAAGCAAGCATTGGATGGAGCAAAACAGAGTCCACTTTCTCTGGCAGAAACCCGAACTGTTCATTCGACTGATTCCTCGGAAATGGGAGACTATGGTCTGATTTCTTTTCCTTTTGGGTTGCCAGGATGGGTTTAAATTGCGAGATCAAGCAACTTTCCCAATTTATATAACCAGATCTGTAGATGGCTGTGTGCGACATGATCCTGTGGCTTTATCGTAATAGACAAGGCTATTTACGAAGAACCAGGTATCACCATACTTCACCTATAAGAATATGTAGAGAGACCAAGCGTATTCGAATAGACTCCCAAGTCCCTGCAGGTACAGCTGCCGAGAGTGATATTGTTACTAAGGAGAGAAGATCATCTTCGCACTCACTCGGTATCGAAGGCTAGAAGTATGACATCCAGGTAAATTGCATCTCTCCCTCAGCTGGCAGGGAGTTGACGAAAGGTATCCTGCCATGGGAGGTGATCAAGAGCGGCAAGCCAGAATACGTGGCTGCCGTGGTGCTGCTTCTGTTTGAGAAGTTCCCTTAAGAGATGCTGGATCTTCGAATCTGGTCGTGGTTGGGAGGCTCGCACTCGCTTCCAACGATCGGACAAAATTGACTTCCCTTTCGACCAGACTCTCACGCCTGAAGCGGTGTTGAAATCTGAGCATACCATTCTTGCTTTCACAATAACCAAGTCCATCAACCCCGAGAAAACCTCCGAAACTCACCAAAATATCATAGCCAACATCAAGAGGCAGCGATCATCGATGATGGTTGCTATAGAAGGCAACAAGTATCTGAAGGCCATCAAGTCTTTAAGAAACGCCAGTCAGAACAGTCACCCTACCCTATTCCACCGCGACCGACGGTAATACTCAACGCATAGGCATTAATTTTGACAGGAGGCTTCTCGCTTTATTCTACTAGACATGCAAGACATCCTTTTTAAGCTTCAGTTTTCTGCAAATGTTCTAAGCTGGCCTCTTAGGGTTGCCGGGGTGACTGCTGATCTATGCAATAGCCTCGGAAGCGACAACTTCTGGCCTCATGTAGTGAGACTAATCGTACCGAGGAAAAGATCATAAGATGGTCTGCCTCGATAATAAGGGCTTTTTATAGGAAAATTATGGTGAGGTGCTAAAACCGGGAATGCGGGGTACGCATGGTTCGATTGTAGGTGGATGGCTTTCTTCGTCACTTGCTCGTCATTGGCTTTTGGCGGTACCCATTTCGGGGTTACAGAAGAGGTGGCTTCGACGTTCATAAGGCTAGCATCGGCGAGCTTGCGGATGGGCTCGACTTTCGTGGGAGTTAGGACGTTCTGTTCAATGTTTTGTAGGCCATCCCATACAGCCAATTTCATAAGACCAGATAGTAAGATATTACTGCCTTCTATCCAGGCCCAACTCTCTGCTGTAAGAGCTTTTGATCAGAGAATAAAGCAGGGATTAATAAGAGCATTGAGGTGTCTGATTAGTATGTAGTTGGTCTTATGTTTACTCTAAGAAATATCTACTTGTGCAGCCTTACCTTCAATACTACTAGGGGAATGTTTGGGTTTTACCTGAGTCTATTGCACAGTGCTTGCAAACATAGGACATATAATACCAGATAAATTTAATATACGGTACTCATACGCACGATAGAATTTATCTACTGTACAGATACTACTATAAATTGGCTATTGTGAAAACTTCCACCAATTGAAGTTGAAAAGGCTGCCACTGCCGCTCCCGGTGAACAAAAAGTACAAGTCTTGAGTGCCCGTAGCGCCGCTAATAGGGCAGGTGACCGTAGTCCAAGTCTGCCAAGCGCCCGTTCCAGAAACAGTACATGTGCCGACAAGTGTACCAGTCGTGCTGCTCAGACGCAGCTCAATCTTGCCACCACTGGCCCCCGACGCGACTCTTGCGCTGAAGGACTTGGCGCCGGTGCCAAATGAGACGCCCTTGACTTTGATGTAATCTCCATTGTTGATGGAAGTTACATCAATTCCGCCTTCGCTGCAGACTTCGGTTTCTACACCCGACTCCCAGGCAATCATCTCAGCCTCCTGTTGCACGTAGGGGTTAACGGTACCGATTTGGGGCGGGCCGCTCTTTGTCATTGTAAGTGTAGGGATGGTACCGTCGGCATTGTATACGAAGCGTTCTACGCATACCGATCTTGTATAACCGCTTCCCCCAGGAAGGGCACCGTTATGGTAGAAAAAGTATGAGTTACCTTTGAAATCGACAACGCCAGGATGGTTTGTGAAGCTCGCACCCGCTGTTGCCATGACGAGTCCGCGATAGGTCCAGGGGCCAGTGGGGCTAGTGCTGGCGGAGTAACGAATATCCTCGGAGCAGCAGTTGGCTGCGTAAATCATGTAGTAAAGCCCGCCGCGCTTGTAGAACCATGGTCCTTCCTCATATGCAGTGGCCCTTGTGCCCTTAGACCTAGGGCCAAATCCAGCAGTCGTGAGCTGAACTTTGTTGACACTTCCGCTGTAGGATATCATGTCTTGATTTAGTTTTACATAGGAGAGACCTGGATTTCCCCAGTATAGGTACGCCTGGCCATTGTCGTCTATGAAGACAGTGGGGTCGATCTCGTTATTGTCAACCAATGGCTTGCCGATCGCGTCACGGTATGGTCCGGTGATATTATCAGCAACGCCTACGCCAATAGCCATGCTTCCAGTGGTGCGCCGCATTGGGGCGTAGAAGTAAAACTTTCCATTGCGTTGGATAATCTGCCCAGCCCATGCATTTGCATTGGTCCAGCTGAATGTTTTCAAACTCATTGGCGACCCGTGATCCTGCCAATTTGCCATGTCCGCCGTTGAATAGAGGTGCCAGTCCTTCATGTTGAACGTTGTAGATCCGTCTTCGTCATGGCCAGTAACGACATAGACACGGTCGTTGTAGACAAGAGGCGCTGGGTCCGTAGTGTAGATCGTTTGGACGATAGGATTGTCAGCTCTCACTAACCCAACCCTGTTGAGTAGTGTTCCGAAATACAGCACAGTGGGAAGCAAGGCAGCAAGGCCCCCAAATAACGTCCCAGGGTTTGAAGCTACCATGACGCGATGGTAAATAGAATCACGATGGTATTGGAAATCGAATTGGCACGTCAAAAGAAAATGGGATTGACTAGAAAGGATCGTGTAGAGCACACTCATACCTTTCTGTCCTATATATACGGCGGAATTTGACTACCTACTACTATAGACAGTTCCTCCGTCGTAATATGAGACCAGCGCACTAACCGTGTTTGCCCATTCTCGAGATTAAGCAGTGCATCGTTTCTTCCGCTCGCAGGGTTCCTCTTACGTCACTGGACGGTCTGAACGCTGATAGCCGTTCCCAAGAGATGCAAAAGATGTTTTTAGATGAAGCATGTTGATCACACGATGTTGTTCTTGTGGTGAACGTGGAATATAAGTATGCGATAGTTTTCCCAGCAGGTGTCATGCTCTCGAGGGAATAGTGGGTGGCAGCGTTTCAGGTATAGTTACAATGCGAACCCCGCAATACGAACCCCGCAAATCTCGTAGGGACATCGGAGATTGCACCCCGGTCATAGCTTCGATGTTCCGATACATAGTTGAGAATAAATAATCCACAAATCATCATTTGCTGATAGAGATGAATAGTACTCCGCATCTACAAGACTCTCCCGTGTAAGGCAAAGTAAAGTCGTCTCTGAGGTTCAACATAATTCGATCGGTGATTTATCAAATGGGTCTTACTGGTACGACGAAGCGAACAATGTCGGGAGAGGGGATATATGCATACTAGTACCGAAAACTCACGTTCAGTAAAGGCGCGGCCCCTGTCTAGAGCTACCGTTGCTGACACTCACTTGGCCATATGTGTCATTCATCGTCTTGCACAATCTTCATGATCTTATTTAAATGCTTGAATCCACCCCATGGGATGGTTTGTGCATGCGCTCGTGCGTACAAAATTCGTAATAGGCCCGAATATCATGACAGTGAGATCCCAAGAACAAAGATGGTAGCAGAGTAGGCGGAGCTTCTGCTTGTTAACAAGCATGACAATACACTTTTACTGCTTTGGGCATTGAGACAGTGGACGCGGTAGACGATGGGTGGAATGCCTGTCGGTGCAATGGAGAGAGTTACTGAGCAGTAAGAGGCGGGTTGAGCGAAGAGGACTGTGTGTGTGTGTGTGTGTGTGTGTGTGTGTGTGTGTGTGTGTGTGAAACAGGTAGAAAACAGCTATTAATTGATACTCACTAGCCATGGTGAGATTTAGAGTGTCGGATCCTTCGAACTGACGACAGTACTTTGACGGTGGATGTATGATTAGAAGGTGATGAAGAGGATGGCCATAAGCAAGCTGCTTGGAGTGATTGAGATGACGGCCAGAGAATTCTACTGTAGACTGCAATTTTGAAGAAGAGCCCTAGAATGGCGATAAGTCTTGTAGTTAAGTTCGATTACTTGTTGGGTCACCTATCTTATAGCTCTTGTTAGCTAGTGGTTGCAGCCGTGAGAGCTCTGACATGCTCTGCATAAGCCGTCTAGCTACACATTGGAAATTATTGCCGCCATTTTATTCTTCTTCCCTGATCGTGAGGCAAGGGGCTCCTTGAATACGCTTTACCTATCTAGTTGGGGCGATACAGTAGCTTTTAAACATTGTCCGCTGGTCTTTGCTTGATCGAATCTAAGGCATATTAGTTTGTATGCAGCGGGCAGCTTACTTGCTACCCGCAAAGACCTGAGTGTCTAGGTCGTGGGTGTTTCTGCCCTATTATCACCATGCCTTGCTAAAGGTGAGCTAGTCTGAAGTTACATAAGCTGGGGTATGGCCCACTGATCCCCGCATTCAGCACGTATCTTACTGAATTGAGAGATGGTATTAACGCATCGTGCCCCACTGTTCGAGTACGCGCACTAAGCCATCTTTCGTGAGAGTATGAGAGACCGAGCAGTGTCGAATGCTCCCTTACCTAGGGTTGACTTGGGGTCTAGATCAGCATCGGCCTAACCCGAGAATACCAGCTCTTTAGTATACAGTATGGAGATATTTGTGCTACCTATATCGTAGCATCATAAGAAACGGCTTGATCGATGTATATGACCTTCTTGGATCACTGATAAAAGTTGCATGAATTTTGGCATGATTCTAGCTCTTATTCAGCACTCCCATGATTCTGCAAAGCCCTAACGCTAAGCCGAACAGGATTTAGCTCTGGAATGGACGGCATTCCAGAACCAAAGTAGGGTGCGGTTTGACTGACTTTAGGTTGTCACCTGGACAAAATCAATTCTGCTTCGCTCATCAAACTTTTTTGCGAAAATTAACAAGATTCTTTAGATACATCGTCCCTTTCCAGTGCTGCATGTTGCGCCGCGTAATTGTCGAGTCAATTTTTGGAATCTCTGAATCGTGATACCAAGCCTTCGCAGATCGTGCCTTTTAGCGTGCCACTAGCGCGACTTCTAAACCAGACGATTTTCATTGCCGGAAGATGCGCTAGCACAGTTTGCAACATTTCTCCGAAAAGTGGCTTGCCCTTGCGTAGTGCGACATGATTTACAGTAGCGCATGTTCAGAAACTTGAATTGCCGTGAGCGGACCGTGGTCTAGCGAGAAATAGTTCCACAGTCTGACATATGGGTACGACAAAATCATGTAGTGTGCTCGAGAGTCATTGTTAGGGAGTGTTCTAGCAGACAGCCTAGAATCCAGCGCCTGACCCGAGCCGTCTCCCCTTATCAAGCCAACTCCTGAACACTTCTTCTAAAGGTTTCCAGCTGCTCAGATGAAACAAATTTTCCTCGTCACTCTCACGCTCTCTTTAACCCTCCGAAAGTAACGCCATCCCCTGCCACATGTCAAAATGATCAATGCTGCTGGTCTTCTGCGTGAAACCCATGCCCTGGTTAGTCGCGCGGGTGGCATTCATGTCCCTCCAGAAGTAATCGCCAGTTGGCCGACTCCCAACTACATCTCCCCAGTGCAAAGGACATGGGGCGCCCCAGTAGCTCTATCTATCTTGTTGGTGGTAACGCTTCTCGTCTATGCCGCCCGCATGTGGGCACGGCTGACCATGACCAAAAACGCTGGTGTCGATGATGTTCTTATAAGTATATCGATGATATTCTTGATCGCACTATCTATTTCGACAATTCTCGGTATGAGCAGCTGTATCAGTCATCTTGTGACAACTAACATCTTGAAGGCGTAACAATTTATGGCTTCCAATGGCATATGTGGGATCAAACACCGGCAACCAAAACTACCACAACTTACGTAAGACCAAGGTCAACTTTTCCCTTTTTTGATGAAGCTCATTGCAACTGTTTAGGTCACCATGGCAATCGAACTCAGTTACATGATTTCCACGACTCTCATAAAAATATCAATTTTGCTCTTCTACCGCCGGCTAACTGGATCTTTAACTAACCGGTTTATTTACCTAGTATGGATATGTATAGTAGCTTGCATTCTATACTTTGTTTCTTTTATCATCCTTATCTTTTTCGCCTGCTCTGTAGCTGTTGGACGAAAGGATTGTGCCGAAGAAGGACCATTGATAGTCTCTGTCACGACTGTTTCAACAGTACAAGACCTTGTTATCTGCCTTCTTCCTACTTTCCTTATTCGTAATCTTCAGATGCCCAAAACCCAGAAGCTTGCAGTCTGTGGTATCTTCGGCTTAGGTCTTGTGACTACAATATGCGGTATTATGAGATTATATTATTCAGTCTATCTTTACTATTGTAAGTATCCGTATACAGCGTTGTAGTATCATTCAACTTAACATAATCTAGTTACGTACGATGCGACATGGTACGCGTATTACGGCTGGATTTGGACCGTACTCGAAGCCGACCTAGCCTTAATCTGTGCGTCAGCTCCAGCACTTCGAGTCTTTTTCCGCCACTCTCTAGGCCTAATGTCTTCCCACACTGGTAATCCGCGATCTGGCGCTAACAAAACATCCCCTGGCATTCTGTCAAATCGAGCAACCCACTCAGGACCCTTAACACGGAATGATGGCAGCAAAGATCTGGAGTCTAAAGGAGACAACATTTACTTAGACAGTATATTAGTCGAGCGGGGTTTGAGCAGCACAACCCAAGAGAGGGATGATGCAAGCCAGAAGAGCGATTCCAGCACCCGGAACCTTACAACTATAATTCATGGGCCTATGTCGAAGTAATAAGGCCAAAACTTTTCTGTCAAACGCTACAGCAATCTTGAAATCGAATTATGTTCTCTCAAAAAAGTATGCGCATAATAGAAAAGCCGAAACGAAAGCTGCCACCGTGATGACTGCAGAGTGATGAAATTTTGATTGCCAAACTGCTCTCTAGCTGTCAAGTACAGACATTTTCAACGTTTCTATCAATCGATTTTGTGCCTTTGAAATGTAGTATGTATGTAGTTCGGGACAAGAGTTACTGATCCCCACTTCTAAATTCCAGTACCTACTAACATTTAACTAAAATGTGCCTCAAACTGCTTTTCAGCGCTGATATCGATCTCTAAGACCATCCCGAGCCAGCTATTGGGTTGAAGAGCAGCTAGCGCACTGGTATCAACATGGACACCATACTAATTATAGCTGCGCGAAATTTATACTACTGTGTATCTGTAGTCAAGTGTGTAGAGCGTCACTCCTAGCCTTCATACAGTCTCCTATAGGGCTTGCTCGTCAGACTTTATGTAGTTGAAATAGGTTCTCCTAAGTAATCACAGCATGAGATGCTTGCGGCATATCAATAGATAGACCAATTAGATTACAATCATCTGTTGAATCTAGGGTAGGGAGAAGTACAGCACTACTCGGCTTGTATCATCGCGACTGCCAGAGTACGAAAAAGGACAATGGTACTTTTATAAGACTCTGAGTAGCAAATCGCGAACTGATGCCATGTATATGCTTGTTGATTAAATAGCTACCTATAATTTCCTAGCTGATCTTTACCTATAATGCATCAATAGCAAGCTTCTTAAATAACTTCTAACATCAATGTACGAAAGGTTGGAGACTTTTAACCTAATTCTACTTCTAGTCTTAGACTGTAGTGTGCATGATCGAGTTTCTTTGCTGAAAAACTTTGAGTCTTTATATTAACTCCATACAAAACGTTTTAGTAATAGAAGAAAAGCTGAACTTGAATCACAACGGTTTGCGCTACACAATAAGTCAGTCATAATCTGTTTCATCTTTCTAGCGGATTAACTCCCTCAATATCTCAATCCCGCATTTCATCTAATCTACACTGTTACAATTCAATCTAATATCTCTATTTGTGGAAATACGAGGGGCTTGTCAGTCTATTTGCAACCAGAAAATCAACAACTCATCGATTCCTCATTCAAACCAAAAAGTCAACCCGCAAAATTCCAGCACTGGGACTGGAAGATAGGAGCATTAAGATTGTACAGTGTTCTGGTATAGATGAATCCAATATAGGCATTGACATCCATGTTGAAGGTGCTTGCGAACCAAGCGCCGTTGGGGCAGGTAGCCGTGTCTGGTTTAGTGAAGGTAACACCTGAACTACTGGCATAGGCAAAACTGAGGTCAGCAGAGAAAGCGTTGATAATCTGAGGCTTGACGTCAATTCCGGTGGTCAGGTCAATGACGCCTTTGAAAACGCGGATACCCAGAGCAAGGTTCAAATCAAGATACGGGTTGAGCTGTAGTGACACCTCGGCGTTGACATCGGAGGAGACGGAGGTTTCGGGCTTCCAACCACTAGTTGAGGTCTTGTTGGTGTCAAGTAGATTCAGGTGAACCTGGCCATTGATAATCTCGCTGTGGACACCGAGGCTTGCATTGACAGTACCTGATGCTGCGAACTCGACACCAAGGCCAAATTGTGCGATGGGGCCGACGTCGAGAATTCCGGGAATGCTAAAAGCTGAGACAGACGCAGAGAGCGGCTCATAGTTGTAGATGTTGGAAGAGTAGGAAGCAGTGACGGATGTAGATACGTTGAGGTTCACGAGACCGGAATAATCGACGTCAAGATACATCTTACTGGGCTTGAACTTCAGGAAGTTGAAACGGAAGCCGCCCTTGATACGGATATTGCTCTGGAACTTCGCTTGATCGACTACAATCTTGAGATTTTCCGTATCGATGAGGGTGCCGTTAATCTCGCCGCCGATTGACGCCTGAAGGTCGCGTTTGGCAGGAGCCGTGGTGGTATCAAATTCAACAACGGCATCCTCACTTTGCTCGTCAAGGGCAGAGCGCAGGCCAGAAGCAGTGGCAGTGCGAGAAGCCTCGTCAAATTTAAGGCCAGAGATGGTGTAGAAACCACGCTCGTCGGCGGTGTTGCAGCCGCCATCGGGAGAGTAAGTAATGATGATGAAGTTAGACTTAGGCCACGCGGCAAAGGCAGCTGTGACAGCAGCAGTGTCGCTAAAGGTCATGGACACAACGGCGTCAGTGCACTTGACGGAGGCGATTCCGGCGACTTCTTCCAACACCACGGTAGGCTGCTTCATGGCAACGTCAACCAAGGCCGACATGCCCTCAGCAGCATACCCGAGGACAATTTCCTTGGCCGGCACCATGGCTTCTTGTCTGGCCTGAAGGCTGCTGGCAAGACCGGACTTGAGAGCTTGAGGACGCGGGATTGGCTTCAAGATAACTGGAGGTCCAGTTTTACCATCTGTTTGTCGGGCTTCGAGATCTTTGAGATGCCCGGGCTTGATTCCAGGCCTGCGAATAGGCTTTAGAATTGCAGAGGGTGCTTGACCTGGTGCCCGTGTCGCATCGACACTGTTCAGAAGAGACGGCCTGAGTCCATCGAGTCGCTGGACAGGACGAAGAACAACGTTGTTGTCATTACTGGGCAATACCGCAGCGCTGGTGAACCCAGCGAATGCGGCGATTAAACAATGCAAAGAAGTAGAGGTCTTCATGGCTGCTGTAAAATGATAGTACTTTGAGCGAGAGGCAAGCAGAACGGAACTGCAACGATGATCAACAGAAGCGAATGACTGCGATCGTGGAAACAAAAAGAGGGTGTTAAAGGAAAGAGTGGATGGTGTGGGGTGAGGAGAAAAAGTTGAGTTAAGAAAAGGTGAGAGCTTTATAGCATGCTATAGCGTGCATTGTGGTGTTCTTTCGATGAGTTTGAGTCGTGCATTGAGCTGAATACCAAGCGCTGTCATTGCGATGCCAACCGTCTGGTGGTATTTTGCAGAATTTGAAGGTGCTCGTCGATTCTTGACTCATGTAACCCTGGCATCGAGGTGTGAATGTGAATGCTAAGGTAGAAGTTGGTCACAGATAGTGTAAACCCCTGTCGGCCGTAGTTATGCCTTTGTTTGGACATGCGCCATGCCATGACAGCTACTACTGACAGTATTTACGTGGGGGTTGAACACCCTTAAAATAGCAAACTCTGCCGAAATAACCGATGCGCATGGTTTCTTCTTGAATATGAAGTGTGCGAAGATACCCAATGTTCAAATTTTTCTCGCTTTGTACTCACTTGCGCCTGAAGTTAGAATGAAGAAACTGTGATTGAAGCCACTCGTTGCCTACATAAGACACCAGTAGCGGTACCATCACCTGGTTTTACAACCTGCATTGACCTGCCTGACTATGAAGTCCTGAGCTACTAAGGGTAGCTAATTTCAGCCATGGCAGCTTCAGCTGAGTAAGTCATCTATCGCGATCCCTTTCCAAGCCACTTCGCACATGACCGTACACTGAAGCTTGAAGGAAGGAATCTGGGGCTAGTAATTTAAAATCTAAAACCTTAGCGTCTACAGGAAACCACAGTTCATCGACGCAATACCGTAATAGCCGGCAAAATGCGCGGGCCAGCGCAATGCACACCTGGAACACGAAAATCAACAGTGAAAATGCAGTTATACAGCAACATTTTATAGCTACAATGATGAGATTTTCGGAGGTAAGCTTTACAGACTGTATATAGGTTGAAGTAATATATCTAAGTCCAGTACTATCTAAAGCAATGTTGTAGAATAGAAGTTTCGTAAAGCACTGATGCCAATTAGTCTCGTCTTGCCCTTCCGCACTAGTTAAGATCAGTCGCCATTTAGTAAATCCGCGATAACCTTGCCTTCTGCAATGTCCTTGTGGATCTCTTCAATTGTCCAAGGCTTGAAGAGGTGACCGGCTGGGGTGTTAGTATTCGGGAAAGATTGGCCTTCCAGCACGTGTGCCTGGGCCTGGCTGAACTTATCGTCAACATATGTCTCAGCATCATGTCGAAAGACCCATTTGGGGAACTTGAGCCGAATTTGTTTTGGATCCTTTCGGATGTTCTCCCAATCAGTTGCACCCATAAGCTGGGAATTCACGAATGCCATCTTTTGGACGCAGCTGGCTCGCCCATAGCGTAGCAAATTGTAAACACGGGCACCCAGCGGTCCATTCTTGGAAGCGCTATCGGTACACGCATGTCTCAGACAAGCCGCGAGCGTCACAGCGTCTTCAACCGCCAAGGTACCTCCGCTGACCGAGGATGGGACAGTGGTATGCGCTACATGTTCGACCTGTACCACTCTACCACTCTTCGATGTCCACTTAGGGCGCAAATTGCGCCAGAGTAAGGGCCAGTGCGTGATTGAGCCTTCAGGTGTCCAACTGACAAGACCTTGGATAGCGGGATGCCAATCTGAGACACGGTCCAGGACCGCTAATACCTCCTGCGAGCTGACATCTGGATCCCAAGATTCCTTTGGCTCACTGCCGCCTGGTAACAAGAACTGGTCCCGAAGCGTCAACCCCCAGGCAGCAAAATCTGGTGAGATCCGGATGCCAATGTGCATTCCTGGTCCCAGTCAGTACTCTTGTGAAGTTTCTTTTTTAGTGCGCTCGCCCCACTGCTTTTGGAAAGCGTCATTGCGCATCGCCAATTCGGTTGGAAAAGCTGTACGATATACTGACATGCCACTTGAACGTGTGGGTAGACGCTTGTCGGCGATAAGAAGTTCAGAGCTCGAGTGGTGGCCATCGGCCGCTATGACCAAATCGGCGGCATGTTGCACTCCTTCCTGTGTGAACACCCCACCCACTCCCACTGAGTCATCCTCGAAATACTTCTCGGCGCGCTGGCCGTACTGAATCCTGAGGCCTATCCGAGCGACTTGCCGAAGCAGCATCTCATGGAACTTCCGCCGTATCTGGAACGGTGCCACGAAAGGCAGGCCTCGACGCTCTTCAAGATACTCCGGATCGTTGTATATCGGCACCGAGGGCCCTAAAATCAACTCGCCGTAATGTCTGCGGTAATATGTCTCGCTCTCGCGGCTGTCTTCTGCCAGCTCCTTGCACATCTGTGGCCAATGCCGTAGTGTCCTTACGGCTGATGGTCCGAAGATAATGATGTCTCCTAGTCAACGCATATTTTTCAGGCTTGAACGTTGGTGCTATAAGTTATAAATGCGAAAAGACTGTAGTACTCACCCGCAAATACGGGATTCTCGCTTCGTTCCAAAATGCCTACGCCTTCATGGCCGTTACGCCAACACTCCAAAGCAGACATCAGCCCACCAGTACCAGCTCCGACTACAAGTACCTTGAGCCCAGTTTTTAGAAACCGAGAGGGCAACGATCAAAATCCGGAAACTATGTATCATCACTTCGTCTGTGCAAGGTAAGACTATTTCTAAACAGCCTCTATCCTGTGGATAAAAGGAAAAAAGAATGATGCAAAATGAGTTTATGGCCACCTCCCTACATTGCATGAGTGCAGCAGAGATGTAGAGGTGGTGGTAGAGGGTCGGCACTGGAGCAACTACAGCTCGGCTCCCTAGCTAAGCGTCACGTGAATGTCGTGCTTAGTGATGTTAACACCGCCAAGGGCCTAAGAGGTCGCAGATGATGTTACCTCTTCAGGCGGTAAAGGGAACGTAATTTACTTTGATGTCACATAAAGCCAGTGTGAAATGACTGATTAAGAATGGGGTTGAAGCACTGAGTGAGCGAATGGATGGGCTGGTAAACGTGGATGCTTATCTGATCAAAGAAACACTAGGTCAAGATCATTCGGTTAAGGAGGTAGATCCTGCTGTCTGATGCTGCAAACTGGATGTCAATTTGATCGGACATGCTCTATCGTCTAAATATGCGATCCCACACCTCTGCAAAACTAATTCAGGGAGCAATTCCAGTATATATTGTTTTTTTAAAAAAGAAAAAAGAAAGAAAGAAAGAAAGAGAGGGACAGAGTGCCGGAGGGGGACTAGCACGCAACTGGTGTCATACGAACCATGAGCGGCGGCCTAGCCCAAGTTGTGAAGAGTTTTTGATGTATCCAGTCCCTGGACTCCGGCAAGACCTCAATGTCAAATTCAAACACAACCATGGCTAAGACAAGTCGCATTTCAATCAAGGCAAGAGTACAAGCACGCGGTTAGCCAAAGGTTCCCAGGTTTTTTTGTGTATGTATGGCAAACCTATTTTCTGCCAATGCAGTTTCTCGGTCCAAAAAGAAACGGTTGTAGTAGGATGTCCCGTTTGTCATGGAACCATGCTGGCTGATCGGAATCGACAAATCTCTCTGGAGCAAACTCGTCGGGCCAGGCAGAGTTGTGAGGCGATCTGAATGCAGCGTATTGACTGATGCCGACCAAGGTATTGCCCGGGACGAAGTGGCCAGCAATAACTCCGCCTTCAGGTGTAACTAGGCCAGAGTACCACCCCATCTGCCCCGGAAGCCTTATCGCGACAAAGGACCGTCTACAGAATCAGAACATCCAGTTGATTATGCCGAAAATTTTATTCTGTTCAGTAGTAAATTTGGCTAGTCACATTGCTACGCAGGACACAACTTAACCAGGTAAGTACGCCCTACCCTGATTCAAAAACGTGCAAATGCAACGCGGATGAGATGCTGGTTCTCACCCGGTATAGTCTAGCGCGAATCAGTCTCTTAGTTTTCGCGTTTTAGTTCTAGCGTAACGTGTATGGCAAGCGAGCGGCGCAGGCAAGCGAGCGGCGCACCCCACCAAACTTGCGCACCTCCTTGAACTAAATATCTAATTACTCAACACTATCATACTCAAATAGCTTCAAATGAATTAGATATCTAGCTTGCTATCTAATCTCTTAAAAATAAACAGATTTAAGGAAATCGCCGTGCTGCTGCAGTCTATAATATAGCTGAAACGACGCTCCGCCGCCGACGCGCTAGTAAGCTTGCCCGACGCGATTACCAGCCCAACTTAAAGAAGCTTACTAAGCTAGAAGAGGAGGTAATAGTTAATTATATACTTAATCTTAACTTACATAGATTTGCGCCTACGTACGATGCTATACGCGATATAGCTAATAAGCTACTAGCTGCGCGCGGCGCTAGATAGGTTAGGTAGAAGTAGTTAGCTAACTTTATTAAGCATATAGATAGTCTTATAACGCGTTTTAATTAGATATATAATAGGTAGAGAGCTCTATATAAAGATTTAGTCTTAATTAAGAGCTAGTTTAAGCTTATAGAGTAGATAAAGGCTAAGTATAGTATCTATAACAAAGACGTCTATAACTTTAATAAAGCTAGCTTTATAATAAGTAAGATTATAACTTAGCTAGTTATAATAGCGTTAGAGAGGAGGGGCTAGCTAAAGGTAGTTAAGCTAGGTAATTATAAGTAGGTAACGCTAATTACAGTAATTAACGTAGCTAGCTAAGTAGTCCTACTATTCTTTATCTTTACTAGCTAGTATTACTTATCTACCTAGTATAAGAAGGTAGAGATTCTATACGATTAAGTAATTATAGTTAGTAATAATAGCTAGACAAATAATAAGCTAGGT